GGATTTTCCGGCTTTGGGATTGCAGGGATGGGCTTGGCTGCTTGGCTCTCCCTCCAAAGGTGGTCCTTCTTAAGAATTGCAAGGTTTGGGGTTTAGGGTTTAGGATTTGAGGGTTTAGGGTTTAGGATTTGAGGGTTTAGGGTTTAGGGTTTAGGGTTTGGGGATTTTGGGGTTTCGGGTTGGGGGCTTAGGGGTTAGGGTTTAGGTTTTTGGGGCTTAGGGTGTAGGGTTTAGGGTTTGGGGTTGTTTCGACTCTCACACTGGCATAAGCGGGCGAGGCAAGTCCTGTCGAGATCTCCAGAGTGGGTACATTGACCACCAGTAACGAACCAACCAGGGTCAGCATTACCACCGACGGATATTCAATGCCAAGACAATTGTTTAAGGTTGAGGGCTTGGCGACACGGGTTTCGATGGGTTTAGGGTTTTGGCTGTAGGGTTGCTCTTGCCTGTCGGCTGAGGGCCCTAAACCCTAAACCCTAAACCCCAAACCCTAAACCCTAAACCCTAAGCAATCTTGCACTCTCAACTTCACCGGCAGCCCAACAAGTCCAAGACCAAAAGCTCAAGGTTTTGCTTAGGTTTTAGGGTTTAGGGTTGGGGTTTGGGGTTTGGGGTTTGGGGTTTAGGGTTTAGGGTTTAGGGTTAGGGTGTAGGTTTAGGACTGGGGCTTTTGGCACCTTTGGCAGCAAGGGTTCAATCAACCCCCGCACTCGTTTGAAGCAATCCCCCAACCCTTACCTTTAGTCCCCGAAATGGTTTAGGGTTTAGGGTTTAGGGTTTAGGGTTCATATACCTTAATAGGAATTATAGTAGTCAGGGTACATGACCCCAATTTCAGGGTTCATTTGGTCTCCAAGGTAGAGGCAAAAAGCAGCCCGTTCCTCCTCCGTGTGGTCCAGGTTGTGAAGCCTTTCGTGCAGCTTGGCCGCTGGATTCCGAGCATGTTCTTGTGGAGCCGCCTCAACCCTTCAAAACGCTTCCCAAACTTTGAACCAACCCTCAACCCTTAACAACCCTTGAGCACTTTGAACCATTCAGCCTTTTTTTGCAGCCAGGTCTCTGAGCCAACCGGGTAACCCTTAAGCCCTGAAAGCTTATGCTACAGACCCTTTTCTTGCACTTCTCCACAAGTTAGACACAGCAAGGGAAAAAAAGGCAAGGGAAAAGCTCTAGCACCCAGAAAGAACCCACAGTTGGCCTTTTTAGGGGCCTAAACCCGGAACCCTAAAGCCTCCTAAAGCCTAAACCCTAAACCTTAAGCCTTAAACCCTAAACCCTAAACCTTTAGGGTTTCCACATTCGGGTGTAGGGCACATCGGCCTGAAGACAGCACAGAAGAAGGCAGAGGGCGTAGCGATCGAGGTCCCCTGCTCATAGACATCCTGCGCACGTCAGCCCTCTTTTCAAATTCGGAGGCTGAAGGAACCCTAAACCCTAAACCCTAAACCCTAAACCCTAAACCCTAAACCCCCTAAACCCTAAACTCTGAGAGCCGCAAGGTTGTCTTAGGCTTAGCCAAGCCTTTTAAGGTTTCCATGTCAGAATGCTCAAAAGGGTCTCTGACCTCAGACCCCCCCACCCCTCCACACCGAGCCTCTGAGATGAGTTGCCTAAACCCTAAACCCTAAACCCTAAACCCTAAACCCTAAACCCTAAACCCTAAACCCGAAACCCTAAGCGCCCATGACACTACCCTCAGAGAGCCCCACAGCATTGGGACTATGAAGGCGGCTCCGCCACCTGTCCCTAAACCCTAAACCCTAAACCCTAATATGCCAAAGTAATCCAGCAAACTCAATCAAATTATGTTCGAATCCTTGAGCTGTTCGTCTGAATACACATTCTTGAGAAAACCCCCTTCAAGCCAATACAAGGGCCTTCTGTTCCTGAGACCCTACACACCAAACCCTAAGCCCTACACCCGGAACTCTGAAACGCAAGTACGGTTCTTGCCCACTGGGGTCAGCACTAGCGAATCGCCACTTCTCTGAATCTCCTCCCCACAAGCGCCAGAGTCAGTTAACCCGGGTTTGTGCCCTAAACCCTAAACCCTAAACCCTAAACCCTAAACCCTAAATGCCCTGTGGGTTCTTTAGGGGTTCTTTGTGACTCTCAACAGTGGTTGCTTAGGGCTTCGTAGACACTTCGGGCTCCAAGACCCAAAACCCGAGCACAAAACCCGCAGACCGCCATCGCGCAACGCCGCGACATCACCCCAAAGGAAGGAAGGCCCAAGTAAGATCACCTCAAGGAACCCCTAAACCCTAAACCCTAAACCCTAAACCCTAAACCCTAAACCCTAAACCCTAAACCCTGTAACCCTAAACCCTGTAACCCCGAAACCCTGCAACCCTGTTCAGACCCTTAACCCCAAACCCCGAGCACCAAAACCCTCAGACATCAGAACCCCAACACTTATCGCCTCAGCCAAGCTGTCCACGCTGGTGATGGAGAGAAGGCTCTTGAAGTACGTAGACCTCACTTTGCCATACGGGGGCTTCCGACCGTTCGAGGTACCTTAGTGGGATCCTTCTTATAAGGGAATCCTACTATTTGGGGGGGGGGGGGGGGGGTCTTTGTTAGGTCCATTATTCGGTAAACCCCCATACCGCTCGGGCTGAAAAACACGCAGCCCCCCCAAAAACATGTAACCTGCGTTTGCGGGTGTATGTAGGGTTTAGGGCTCTATTGGGGTTTAGGAAATGCCGAAACCCTAGATCGTAATTCTACACAACCAGGGCCCAGGGTAAGATTCAGAGAAAGGGACATCTCTGCTGGCTTTCAACACCCAGATTATTGCTAGTTCGAAGTTGTATCTCAGTGTCAAGGTCCCAACCTCATGTAAACCTTCCTTATACACCTCCCTAAACCCTAACCCTAGATCCTGAACACTAAACCCGAAAACCCCTAAACCTAAACTCAGAACCCTGAACCCTAAAACCCTAACCCCGCCAATCCGGTGGCGGCGCAATGCCTGATGATGCCGCACAACTTCCGTCACGTCGGCACTGGGAATGCCTGAGTCCTTAAAGCTTGGGAACTAACGTGGCTGACAGCTTCACAAACTGGCTGCTTCTTAGTAGGGAATGAGGGAATTAACTACCCTATACATACTCCCTCAACGGGTATAGCCCTAAAACCCTAAACCCTAAACCCCTACTAAGGACCAGCCAGCAAGTGGAGGCACTTTACAGCCCCACTCTGTGGTGGGAGAAAGAGATTCCCAGGCATGCCAAGGGGCAACAGGGAGCGCATGCATACTGCTAAGGGGGTAGGAGGGAGCCCTAGACGGGACCCTGACCCCCTGTGTTGTAACCCCAAGGTGTACTTTCTGTAGTCCCTATATACCTAAGCATCCCCACCCTAAACCCTAAACCCTAAACCCTAAACCCTAAACCCTAAACCCTAAACCCCCTAACGAACCCCCAAGGTCCCTTAGAAGGGTTCCCTCCGTTATAGTCTCTTCAAACTGTGCCATGGCCAAGCGGGATCCTCTTAAACACCTGTTGGCGGATGTGCCGGCCCGATATTGGCTCAATGAATTAGGGTTTATAGGGTTTAGGGTTTAGGGTTTAGGGTTTAGGGTTTAGGGCTTAGGGCTTAGGGTTTAGGGTAACATGTCAGCAGCCTGGCGCCTGTACACCGGAGGCCAGGACCCCAGGACCCATGTCGGGCGCCTACACGGACACGCTCGACCCATCGCTGAGGTTTGTGTTGCCATCCTTGGGGACGACATGAACCCTAAAATTGGGATCCTTTACCCTGTACTACTATAATTCCTATTAAGGTAATATGAACCCTAAAACCCTTTTAAGGCTCATTTAGTGCCCAAGGATCTGGGTCCCAATCTGGGTTTCCGCCCGTCTTCGCAGAAGACAGCCCTTCCCTACCAAAGCGCGCGTCGAAGATCTGGTCCTTGGGGACTAGAGTAGAGGAACCCTAAAAGGGTTCCCCTAAAGGGTTTAGGGTTCATATACCTTAATATGAATTATAGCAGTCAGGGTCTAGGACCCCAAAAATTTGTAGGGTTCATTTGGTCCCCAAGGGTCCATGTGCTCGAGCAGGACGCCTTTTGTCTCTGGCAGCCAGCAGGCGAAGAAGACGGAGGCTAGGGAGACGGCCCCCAAGATGACGAAGGTATTAAAGCCCATGGAGTCCAGCATCATCCTTGCTGAGGCCGAAATGGACCCTAAAACTGGGGTCATATACCCTGTACTACCATAATTCCTTTTGAGGCACTTCCCTGTGCTATACTATAATTCCTATTAAGGTACTTCCCTGTACTACTACAATTCCTACTCAGGTACTTCCCTCTACTACAATTCCTACTAAGGTACTATGAACCCTAAGCTTTTAAGGTTCATTCATCTCGTCCCCAAGGATCGGGGCCAGCTGGTTGACGATGAAGACGCCGGTCCACTCCGCCATCGTCGTGAGGCCCACGCAATGCCCGCGCACCTTCAGCGGGAAGATCTCTGCACAGTAGACCTGGGTAGCCCAGCAACCCTTTACCTGTAGGGTTTAGGGTTTAGGGTTTAGGGTTTAGGGTTTAGGGTTTAGGGTTTAGGGTTTAGCCCAGTAACCATATATTAGAATAAGGGCACCCTTTTTTGGGGTTGGTTACTTCATAAGGGAACCCAGAACCCAAAACAAGGGGTAAAGGGTACCACTGGGCCACAAAGACACCCATGTCGTGGGCCCCCAGCTGTAGGCAAAGTTGACAATGAAAACAAACACGGCGGCAACGATGACTTGCCCGGCTGTGTCGCTCAGCACCTCCATCTGGCCGCCATTCTGGCGCGTATAAGCCAAGCCAAGAATGGCCGTGACCACATTCGGCAGCAGCATGCCGACCGCGCCGAGCAGCAACAAGGACCTCCGGCCGAAGCGCTCGATGAGGCACATGGCCTTGGGGACTAAATGAGCCTTAAAAGGGTTTAGGGTTCATATTTACCTTAATAGGAATTTATAGTAGTACAGGGTAAAGGATCCCAATTTTAGGGTTCATGTCGTCCCCAAGGAACCGGGAGGGTGGCCACAAAGAGTGTCCACATCAAAGCGGTCTGCAAGGAGGCTGAGTCAAGGCCCAGGCTGATGAAGATTCGAGGGCCGAAGCTCACGAAGACGTTGATTCCGGTCAACTGCTGGAGCAGCTGCAGCGTGACGCCCACCGCAAGAAGGCGGGCGTTGCGGCCAGAGCACAGCTCCGACCAGCGCAAGTGGGGGCCGGAGGCCCTGGCGCGCTGCTGGTCTAAGACGATCTCCTGCAGCTCCGATCGGGCCTCCGCCTCATCCCGTATCGACAGAAGCACACGGAGGGCAGCGTCCTCCTGGCCGTGCTGCACCAGCCAACGTGGCGACCTCGGGAGGAAGAACATGCCGACAAAGAGCACCAAGCCGGGCAGCACGGGCAGAAGAATCGCCCACCGCCAGCCATCGGCCAAGGGCAGCAGCAACGCATCGGCGAAAGCGGCGACCGCAACGCCAAGCACGACCATGACCTGGGCGATCGCCGTGAGGCCTCCACGCAGGTGTGGCGGCGCCAACTCGCTCTGGTAGAGGGGCACGACAGTGCTGAGGATGCCGATCGAGCAGCCAGCCACAAAACGCCCCACGATCATGACTGCGACGCTTGAGCACGTTGCCTGGATAACTGAGCCGAGCAGGAAGATCAAGCTGCCGATCATGAGGGAAACCTTCCGGCCCAACGCGTCCAAGAAGAAGCCGCTCACGAGCGGGAACGCAGTGACCATGCCTTGAGGACCAAATAAACCCTAAAATTGGGGTCATATACCCTGTACTACTATAATTCCCATTAAGGTCATATGAACCAAACCCTAAACCCTAAACCCTAAACCCTAAACCCTAAACCCTAAACCCTTCTAAGGTTCATGTAGTCCCCAAGGTGCAGCCCAGCGCGAAAACGGAGACGATGAAGCCAGAGGTGGCCCCGTCGATCTCTGATCTGGGCTCATCCCAATTGGGCAAGTTGGCCACCTGGAAATTGTCCGAAGTTAGGTTTAGGGTTTAGGGTTTAGGGTTTAGGGTTTAGGGTTTAGGGTTTAGGGTTTAGGGTTTAGGGTTTAGGGTTTAGGGTTTAGGGTTTAGGGATTTATGGTACTTTGTTCGGGTCCTTCTTACAAGGGAATCCTACTATTATGAGGGATCTATTTTGGGGGTCCCCTTATGTTCCTAGACCCCCCCCACCTCCCTCTTGAATTTCGGGTCCTCTAGGATGGGACCGATGTAGCCCATGTCCAGTCCAAACAAGAAGGACCCGATCGCCGAGAAGAAGCAGATGCCTGCCACCCGCATGCCTTGGGGACGAAATGAGCCTTAAAAGGGTTTAGGGTTCATATTACCTCAATAGGAGTTTTAGTAGTATAGGGTAAAGGACCCCAATTTTAGGGTTCATGTCGTCCCCAAGGTGCTCTTCGCCCACGCCATGCTCGTGATGGCTTCCGAAGATGTGCAACAACTCACTGCAGAGGAGCGAGCGAGGTGCTTTGCATCCAAACAGCTACGGTCATGTTTCAATGCGTGCATGCTCGGCAAAAACCCACTGAGAATCGTTGAATAATCACCTCAGAATGCTGTGCAAACCCTAAACCCTAAAACGTCGAGCCATGATCACATTGATTCCGAAAGTAGGGTACCTTCTTGGAGTCCTTCTTATAAGGGGCTCCTACTATTTGGGCTCTATGCGGGGTCCCTTCTATCATCGTAAACCCCATATGGTGGTTTCCGAGATTTGGTGGTGCCTTATTGGGGTGCCTAAAATACAGACATCCCATTATTTGGGGTCCCTTGCTAAACCACCTAAACCCTAAGCCCTGAGCCCTGAACCCTCAGGCCCACCCACCCCACCCCATATGCGTAGGTTGCAAACCCTAAGCCCTAAACCCTAAACCCCAAACCCAAAACCCCAAACCCTAAACCCTAACGCGCGTGCGCAGCTTTTGATAACCAGCGCCCCGGCCTCTGCCGGGGTGCGAGAGCGGTCACAAAAGACGCATTTTTGCGGCGGCCGCCCCTGGTAGGCGGCCCTTAGGGCATAAGGAGGGTTTAGGGTTTAGGGTTTAGGGTTTAGGGTTTAGGGTCTTGAGCACTCAACCCGAAACCCCTAAAACTAGTACATCCAAGCCATCAGGGCTCACGAGAAGGGCAGGACGGTGAAGGCTTTCTGGTAGCCGGGTCGTGCTTTTAGGCGCTCGAAGTAGGCCTGTTTAGGGTTTAGGGTTTAGGGTTTAGGGTTTAGGGTTTAGGATGGCTTAGGGTCTACCTGGGACCCTGGTTACCTGCAGTTTAGTAACTACCCTTGATTCGTAGGGTATAACCCATAAAACTGTAGGTAAAGAGGGTTCCCAGGTAGGGCTTGGGGACCCCAACATAGGGATCCTGTGTCCTATACCAATACTCCCTGACCACAGACTCACTTTTGACCTTCACCTGGTCCGCAAGGCTTAGGACAATCGGATCCACAACTTGTTGTTCGGCCTCTTACCTAGCTGAACGAATCTCACTGCATGTTGTCAGGGCAGAATCAACAAACCCTAAACCCTGAACCTTAACCCTAAACCCTAAACCCTGAACCCTAAACCCTAAACCCTGAACCCTAAACCCAGGTGTTCTGGGCTTGTTGGGCTTGTACAATGTCAAGGCTCTTGGGGTTTGGGGAGCCTCGGCTTTGCCACCCGCCAAGCAGTAAGGCGGCTTGAAGGTTGAGAGGGTTTAGGGTTTAGGGTTTAGGGTTTAGGGTTTAGAGTTTAGAGTTTAGGTTGAGGTTTAGGGTTTATAGGGTCTAGGGTCGAATGTTTAGGTTTAGGCCTAAGCTTAGGCTTAGGCCCAGCCCCAAGCTCTCAAGACCTGAAGCCCGATAAACCCTGTGAGTCCCACAAACCCTAAACCGCCCGGAGGCTGGTTTTTGTGTGTTGGATGCAGAAGTGCCTCCAGGGTAGGGAAGTCATGCCAGCCCCGCTTGACATGGATGTAGTACCTGAAAGGCTCGAAGTTTATATAGGGTGTATATGTGTAGCTCGAAGGCCTAAACCCTAAACCATAAACCCTAAAGCCTAAACCCTAAATCTAGGGTCTAGGAATTTAGGGCGTATGCAGGTTCAAGAACCATGAGGGCTTGAGGGAAAACTTGGTGGGGCTGACGAGGCCGAGGGCCCCAGAATGGGTTTAGGGTTTAGGGCTTAGGGTTTAGGGTTTAGGGCCCCCCCAAGGGACTCTAAGTTAGGCTTAATCATCTGTAAAGGCCTTAATCATGGAGGGAACCTAGGGGGGGTTAGCAGAGAGGGGGCTAGTAGGCGAACCCATGAACACACCACCCCTTATGCTAACAGTTCTTAGTAGGAACTAGAGTGCTCCCTCTATTCAGGACTGTTAGTATAAGGGGAACATCCCAAACAGTGGCCAACACACCCTAAACCCTAAACCCTAAACCCTAAACCTTAAACCCTAAACCCTAAACCCTAAACCCTAGGCCCTAAACCCTAAGGCGCATGTTGACGCCGGCCACGACATCTGCTGCAGTAAAGTCCTTCAGGCTATCATCTTGAGGCTCTGCCAAGGCTCGGTTTCGGGTTTAGGGTTTGATTACTCGGTGCTGTCTCTGAATAGGGTTTAGGGTTTAGGGTTTAGGGTTTAGGGATTAGGGTTTAGGGTTTAGGGTTTAGGGTTTGGGGGTTGGGGGTTGGGGGTTCGGGGTTAGGGTTTAGGGTTTAGGGTTTAGGGCTCAGGGTTTAGGGTTTAGGGTCGCAAACGTTGCCCTGAATCCATGGGTTGATGGTGCCTTACAGGGCTTTGGGCTTTGACCTTGAAGCACAAGGCTTCGGAAAGCTTCAGGATTCAGGCCTTGGGTTACGAGGGGCTGCGAGGGCTTATCAAAAGCCGCAAAGAACCCGAAACTTGGGATGTTCGACTTGCAGCTAGCAGGGATTATCGTTCCCCCCCCCAAATTATAATCCCGATTAAGGAGTTGTTCGTATAAGCGGGAGCATCCCAACCCGAACCCTAAACCCTAAACCCTAAAAACCCTAAACCCTAAAAAAACGTCCTCGCCAAACATGAACTTCTTGTCGCCGAGGAGGGAGACGAGAATTGGGCCACACTGCTCCACCCACGCCTGGGCGTGGAGGCCGCGCGTAGGGTTCGGTGTTTGGGGCTATATAAGGGTTTTGCTACTATTTGCTTACAAAATTCCGCAAAAAGCACAAAATAATCCCTATACTACCCTTGTAGGAAAATATTGTCCCTTGTAGGGAGGAATATTCCTTGCTCATATTTTTTTGGATACGTCTACAAGAGGGGACCAAAAAGCGCCCAACAATGAAGTCGAACCCACCTGGCCTGGTGGTTGAGGTCGATCGCCTCCTTCTCATCACCAGGCGCCTGGCTCAACCCCTAAACCCTAAACCCTAAACCCTAAACCCTAAACCCTAAACCCTAATCACCAGGCGCCTTGCTCTGCAGCACGCGCTGGATGGGCGACGATGTTGCGGTCCTGCCATATTCGACACGCTTGAGGGCCCTGCAATGCCAAAATTCCATTTCCTAGAACCCGATATGTCCTACAGAATCCTATAAAGCCTACCTTGGACTCTATTTACCTACAGTTTAGTAGCAACACCTTTAATGAGTAGGCATAACCAAAAAAAAACTGTAGGTAAAGAGTGTCCCAGGCAGGGGTTCAAGGCGGACACACCCCTCTCCCAACTCCCATGAAAACCCTAAACCCTAAACCCTAAACCCTAAACCCTAAACCCTAAACCCTAAACCCTAAACCCTAAACCCTAAACCCTAAACCCTAAACCCTAACCCTAAACCCTAAACCCTAAACCCTAAACCCTAAACCCTAAACCCTAAACCCTAAACCCTAAACCCTAAACCCGAGCCGAAGCACAGGTTGTCGATGGTCCCAGAGCAGTAGAAGGCAAGCCTATACTGAACGCGGAACCCTTGCAAACAAGTCTACAGGAGTTTCTTATTAGGAAGTTTACGGTGCCACCCTAAACCCTAAACCCTAAACCCTAAACCCTAAACCCTAAACCTAAAAAATATTCCCAAGTCTCCCTAAGAAGCTGGTAGAAGAGGGCTGCAAACTCCGGCCGGTCAAGCAGCGCAAGCTTCCGCTCCTTGTCGAAGAGCTGGAGTATGTACATGCAGATCCTTGGGTTTATAAGGTTTGGGGTTTAGGGTTTAGGGATTAAGGTTGCAAGTGGCAACTTGGGCAGCGTAGCGGCATGTGCTTGGACTTTGTTGGGCTTTCCGGGCGGAATGTCATGAGTATGACGGGTATGGAACAATATGGGACCCTCTTTACCTACAGTTGTATGAGTTATACCTACCAACTAAGGGTAGTTACGGCGACATCTGTAGGTAAAGATTGAGCCCCAGGAGATGCTGCAGATGAGATTCGCGCTGCTCTCAAACATCACGGTGCTGCCATGCTGCAGCGCAGGAACTTTGCCTAGACCCGGGAGTAACCCAGGAGTAAAAAAGGGTACCCTTTTGTGCTTAAAGGGGCTTGCAAGGGAACCTAAGCCTTTAAGAAAGGAATAAAGGCCTAATATAGGGGTCGAAATAATTAGAAATAGCATTCCCTTATGGTCCCCTGATGATTGTACTCTAGTATCCCCCCAAAACCCTATTCAAGTTATTCAGGCCCCTACATAACTCTGGGTCCTGGTTGCCGTTTGGATTGATCTTCAGGTACCACTCTGGCTTGTCGGTTCGGAAAGTCGATGGG